GAATGGATAAACAAACTATGGTATATCCACACAGTGGAATATTACGCAACGATAAAGAACAAGAATGAAGCTCTGAAACACCGTGTAACTTGGTGGAAGCTAGAACTTATTATACTGAGTGAATTTAGTCAGTCACAGAAGGACAAATACTATATAAGACCACTATTATAAGAACTCAAGAAAAGGTCTAAACATAGAAGAAAACGTTCTTTGATGGTTGTGAGGGTGGGGAGAGAAGGTGAGGGTTATTCACTAACTAGATAGTAGATAAGAATGATCTTAGGTGAAGGGAAGGACAGCACACACTGCAGGGGAAGTCAGCACAACTGGACAAAACCAAAGCTAAGAAGTTTCCTCAATACAATCAAATACTTTGAGAGACAGAGTAGCAGGGATGTGGGGTCTGGGGACCATGCTTTCAGGGGACATCTATGTCAATTGGCATTAACAAACCTTATTAAGAAAATGTTCTGTATCCTGCTTTGGTGAGTGGCGTCTGGGGTCTTAAAAGCTTGCAAGCGGCCATCTAAGATGCATCAACTGGTCCCAACCACTTGGAGTAAAGGAGAATGAAGAACACCAAAGACACAAGGAAAGTATCAGCCCAAGAGACAGAATGGGCCACGTAAACCAGAGACTTCATCAGCCTGAGACCAGAAGAACTAGATGTTGCCCAGCTACCACCAATGAATGTCCTGACAGGGAACACAACAGAGGGTCCCTGATGGAGCAGTAGAATGCTGGGATGCAGAACTCAAATTCTCGTAAGAAGACCAGACTTAATGGTCTGACTAAGACTGGAGGCGCCCCGGAAAGCTTGGCCCCTGGTCTCTCCATCACCCCAGAACTAAAACAATTTCCGAGGCCAACTCTTCAGACAGGGATTGGACTGGACTGTGGGACATAAAGTGATACTTGTGAAGAATGTGCCTCTTAGACAAGTAGATACAAGAGACCAAAGGAGCGGCTTCTGTCCAGAGGTGAGAGGGGAAGACAGAGAGAGTTAGGAGCTGGTTGAATGTTCATGGGGAATCAGGGGCAGAGGGGAGGAGTGTGCTGCTGCAGAATGGGGTGAGCGGTTGAGGTGTCATAACAATGTACGTTAAAAAAAAAATTATGTATGGCAGACTAACTTGAAATATAAACTTCATTTAACTACACCAATAAAAAAAAAAAGAAATCAAAGGATGCATTGCACTGGGCAAATCTTCTGTAAGAGACCCCTTTAAACTGTTAAAAAGCAAAGATGTCATTTTAAGGACGAAGGTACCCCTGATCCAAGCCATGGTGTTTTCAATTGCCTCATATGCATGTGAAAGCTGAACAATGAATAAGGAAGACCGAAGAGGAAATGATGCCTTTGAATTACGGTGCTGGCAAAGAATACTGAATATACCATGGACTGCCAAAAGAACGAACAAATCTGTGTACACAAACTACACTGACTTAAAGGAAAACCAGAATGCTCCTTAGAAGCAAGGATGGTGAGACTACATCTCACATACTTTGGACATGTAATCAGGAGGGACCAGTCCCTGGAGAAGGACGTCATGCTTGGTAAAGTAGAGGGTCAGTGAAAAAGAGGAAGACCCTCAACGACATGGATTGACACAGTGGCTGCAACAATGGGCTCAAGCATAACAGTGACTGTGAGGATGGCATAGGACTGAGTAGTGCTTCATTCTGCTGTACACAAGGTGGCTATGAGTTGGAACCAACTCAACGGCACCTAACAACAACAACAACAAGCAAAAAATGAAACTCGACCTATGTTTCAGACGTTATACAAGAATTGGATGTATAACTCAAAACTTACTCAAAATGGATCACAGACTTAAATGTAAAGTTATAAGCCTTTTAGAAAAAACACAGGAGAAATAATAGCCAAAAAACAGGAAACAACCCAGATGTTCTTCAATGGGTGAATGGTTAAACAAACTGTGGTACTTCTATGTCATGAATTATTACTCAACAATAAAAAGGAACATGCAACAAGCCGAATGAATCTCCAAAGAATTATGCTGAGTGAAAAAAAAGCCAGTCCTCAAAGGTTACATACTATATGGTTCTATTTATACAACATTGTTGAAATGACAAAATCTTACAATGGAGAACAGATTAGTGGTTGCCAAGGGTTAAGGAGAGGGTGGAGGTGGGAGAGAAGTGAGTGTGCTAAAAAAGAGCAACATAAGGGATGATCCTTGTGATACTGGACAGATTCTGTATCTTGACTGTATCAATGTCAATATCCTGGTTGTGATACTAGGATGCTACCACTGGCAGAAACTGAGTAAAGCATACGAGGGATATCTCTATTATTTCTGAAAACTGCCTGTGAATCTACAATTATCTTAAAATAAAAAGGTTATATTTATGAAAAAAACTTTAATGATATACAGTACAGAAAATATATTGACTTAATTATTTATATAAAAAAATGCTTTGCATTCATATAGAAAAGACTAATGGAAATATACTCAAATGTTGCCACCACTGAAATGATAAGATAGATAATGGGCGATTTTTGTTTTCTTCTCTGCTTTTCCATACATCCCGGGTTTTCTTCACTAAGCTTGTATTACCTATGTAATAAGAAAGGGAAAAAAAAAAAAACCCTAAAGATGTTTCTCCATTGAAAAAAGAAATGCACCTGTCAGAGTTCAAGTTCTATAGTTAAATAGTGAAATGGACAAATTAGAAAGAGTGAAGAGCCTCATTCCTAAGGAAAGAAAAGCAGAAGAAAATGGCCATGAGATTCATTCTGGGACTACTTAGGTTTGATAAGCAGGTGAAAGAAAACCAAGTGGGGTTGCTTTAGTATCTTTTGGGGAAAGAACTCACATGACTTGAGGAGTGAACAGGAAAGATCACACTAGTACCCTGCTAGGAAAGAAGTCACATTACTCAGCTCTTAAGTCCAAGTATGAACATAATTATCCTGGCACCTTTTGGGCTAATGTATGAAGCAAAAAGCAACAGTCCGTTGAAAGTTAAAATGTCAAGAGTTCGACACATTAGCAATAAAATTTCCTGCCCTATTTAAGGGAATAGCATAAAAGACCAACAGGTATCCATTAAGTTAAGGCTCAGAAGGCAAACCACAAGTATCACTAAATTTACCTAGTTTATACATGTAATGAATATTGGTTGTTTCAGATAACTCAGGATCTTTCCCCACACCCATTACCAATACTGGATATAGGTTTTCTCAAAAAGGTTTTCTTACCTCGTAGAAGAAGGGATGTCCAGCCATATCAAAGATGTTAACTTTGACTTCTCTGTCTCTGACTTGAACCCTGAAATGTTCAAATGGAAACAATCCCAAAGAAGGTCATGGTTTCTGCATTTACATTCATATCACTTAAGTCATCTGTGAATTTCAAAAGTGTATGTGTGTGAAATTTAAAAGAGGCTTTCTTTCTTAGTGCCTATTCTTGATTCCAGATACTCTTAATAAGAGTCAGAAACTTGACAGGTGATCCTGCTTCCTTATTTTAAGAACACTGAAACCACTGGGAGTAAGTCCCTTCAATTACCTTCACGCAAAATATTTTGGGCCACATCCCTTAAACAATAAATGGTATTAAGAAAAATTGATATGAGACAAGTAGGAGTAAGATGAGAAAAAACAAAAATCTTTATTTCACTGAGTAAAAGACATTTTAATTATAGTCGGTTATGCTTGGGTACCATGCAGTAGAATAACAAAAGTGTACATTATTAATGATGTCTGCTTAATTTTCTTGTGATCTCCATTTAAGCAAAAGCAATAAAGTTAACTTGTTCTTAGAAATTTGAAAATAAAGAACAAAAGGGAAATGACAAACACTCATATTAGAATTAACTACTGTTAATACCATAGCATATTTGTTTCCGATCTTTTTTTTTTAAAGAAAAATCACTATTGGAAATGAATGAACATTATAAATAATTCAAGCAATAAAGAAAAATGCAAAGCTGAAAGTTTAAGCTATCCCAAACCCTATCACCCAGAAATAACCTTTATTAATATAAGATGAACATCACTGCAGACTTTTTCTAGGCATAGATAAGACTGATAAAAATAAATGTTTTTTATAAAAACGGGATTATACTATTTTAAAATAAAAAGTATAAACCTTACTTTTTCTTGACTTCAGCAAAATAAAACGGAATTGAAGCGAACTGGATGGAGTGATTGAACTTTAAATGTAAATGCTTCTTTACCACAAGAAATACTATTTCCTAAAAGATCCTTCTAAGGTTAAAAATAGATATTAACAATAAATTAACAGATTGGAGTCATTATGTTTTTAAGCTACATGTTTCAGTTTTAGCATTGATATGACTCCCTGCTATGAAATATAAGGACATCAGTGTTTGTTCTCATTGTCCCTCCTAGTTAGTTTATTACTATTATTCCCTTGTCCAAGTGTATAACATTTACTTACAGCTCTGAAACCATAATTCCTACAGTTGTTTTATATTATTGTATTTTTATGCAAATAACATGCACCCTCTATGTTTGTCTACCAACCCTGTGCTCCCCTTGCAAGGTATTTTCATAAGTGCCAGTATGCCAATTTCTTTTTACATGCAGCTGTAAAAAAACAAGTTAGCATAGCACGCTTATGAAAATACCTCACAGGGGCAGGAGGGTGCTGCTGGCAAACAAATGAGGAAGGCTCATGTTATTTGCATGAAAATACGGTACTTGTATACTTAATTCAATACTAACCAGTAACCATATTATCATTTCTTCATTCTTGAATTCTTTACCATATTTCATCAATTCCAAGATGTACATTTGTTTACATTTTAACATCTATAAAACGAGGACCCCATCCTATAATCAATGGCATGTCAGAATTTAACGGCCATGTTTTTGTTTCCTTTCTTTGTGGTACATAAAATAATGTGCACCTGACAACTTAGATTTAACAAAAAACAGTATTCCATATTATCTCTTAATTGTTTGGATGTAATTGTCAAGAAAAGTTTTCAAGAAGGGCTCGTGGTGTTCTAAGCTTTGAATTCTTTCATGTTTTAGAAGTCTGCCTAAATGCTTTTTTTTTTTCTAAAAGCAAGAAGAAACATTTTATTCAGCATATGTTCCAAGAGGCAAAAGTGGGAAACAGACAAGCATGATGTTAGAGCCATGTATACCTGAGTCCAAGGAACATTAGGGAATACGCAAAAGTGGGAAACGGACAAGCATGCTGCCAGACCTATGTCTGCCCGGGTCTGAGGAATGTTACAAAATCGTCAGTATATATTGACATTACAAATGGGTAAGATCATTTAAAGCTTCACCTTTTCACGTACTGGTTAAAAACTGCTAAATCACCGTGAATCTACATTTTGAATTGTCTTTCTTAATAATCATTGGTACAAGTTTCAGTAACGACAGTCAGGAGGGTATTCATTGGTCCAACAAATCTTACTATTCACTAAATGCTAATAGAAAAAGATACGACTGGAAAATATATGGGTTTTTTTGTGCTCTAAGTATTTGTTTATGTGAAAGTTTCCCTAAAAGAAGTTTTCCAAGATTATCCTGTTGCCATTGTTGTTAAGTGCTGTCAAGTCGTTTCCGACTCATAGCGACCCTATGTACAACAGAACGAAACACTGCCTGGTCGTGTGCCATCCTCACAATCATTGCTACGTTTGAGACCACTGCTGCAGCCACTGTGTCAATCCATCTGGTTGAGGGTCGTCCCCTTTTTTGCTGACCCTCTACTTTACCAAGCATTATTTCCTTCTCCAGGGACTGGTCCCTCCTGATAACATGTCCAAAGTAAGCGCTTCTAAGGAGCATTCTGGCTGTACTTCTTCCACGACAGATTTGTTTGTTCTTCTGGCAGTCCATGGTATAGTTAATATTCTTCACCAACACCACAATTTAAAGGCATCAATTCTTCTTCCGTCTTCCTTATTCATGGTCTGGCTTTTACATGCATATGAGGTGACTGAAAACACCATGGCTTGGGTCAGGCACACCTTAGTCCTTAAAGTGACATCTTTACTTTTTAACACTTCAAAAAGATCTGTTGCAACAGATGTGCCCAATGCAATGTGTTGTTTGATTTCTTGACTGCTACTTCCATGGGTGTTGATTGGGGATCCAAGCAAAATGAAATCCTTGACAACTTCAATCTTTTCTCCGTTTATCAGGATGTTGCTTATTGGTCCACTAAGAGGACTTTTTTTTCCCTTATGTTGAGGTTTAATCCATACTGAAGGCTGTGGTCTTTGATCTTCATCAATAAGTGCTTCAAGTCCTCTTCGCTTTCAGCAAGCAAGGTTGTGTCATCTGCATATCGTAGGTTGTTAATGATTCTTCTTCCTCCAGTCCTGATGCTGCGTTTCTTCTTCATATAGTCCAGCTTCTTGGATTATTTGCTCAGCATACAGATTGAGTACAGTGAAAGGATACACCCTGACACACACCTTTCCTGACTTTAAACCACACAATATTCCCTTGTTCTGTTCAAACGACTGCCTCTTGGTCTAAGTACCGGTTCCTCATAAGCACAGTTAAGTGTTCTGGAATTCCCATTCTTCACAATGTTATCCATAATTTGTTATGATCGACATAGTCAAATGCCTTTGCACAGTCAATAAAATACAGGTAAACATCTTTCTGGTATTCTGTGCTTTCAGCCAGGATCCATCTGACATCAGCAATGATATCTCTAGTTCCACAACCTCTTCTGAATCTGGCTTCAATTTCTGGCAGTTCCCTGTTGGTAAACTGCTGCAGCCGCTTTTGAATGATCTTCAGCAAAATTTCACTTGCATGTGATATCAATGATATTGTTCAATAATTTCAGCATTCTGTTGGATCTCCTTTCTTTGGAATGCATACAAATATGGATCTCTTCCAATGAGCTGGCCAGGTAGCTGTCTGCAAACATCCATTAATAACTGGAATGTGGAATGTACGAAGTATGAATCTAGGAAGATTGGAAATCATCAAAAGTGAAATGAAACGCATAAACATTGATGTCCTAGGCATTAGTGAGTTGAAATGGACTGCTATTGGCCATTTTGATTTAGATAATCATATATTCTACTATGCCAGGAATGACAAATTGAAGAGTAATGTGTTCATCGTCAAAAAGAACACTTCGATATCTATCCTAAAGTACAACGCTGTCAGTGAGTGATAGGACAGTGTCCATATGCCCATAAGGAAGACCGGTTTATACGACTATTATTCAAATTTATGCACCAACCATAATGCAAAGATGAAGAAATTGAAGATTTTTACCAACTTCTGCAGTCAGAAATTGATCAAACATGCAATCAGGATGCACTGATAATTACTGGTCATTAGAATGTGAAAGTTGGAAACAAAGAAGAAGGGCTGGTAGTTGGAAAATACAGCCTTCGTGATAGAAATGACACTAGAGATTATATGATGGAATTTTGCAAGACCAATGACTTCTTCACCGCAAATACCTTTTTTCGACACCATAAAACAGCAACTATACACATGGACCTCACTGGATGGAATACACAGTAATCAAATCACTTACATCTGTGGAAAGAGATGATGGAGAAGCTCAATATCATCAGTCAGAACAAGGCCACGGGCTGACTATGGAACAGACCATCAATTGCTCATATGCAAGTTCCAGTTGAAGATGAAGAAAATCAGAAGTCTACAAGAGCTGAAGTACGACCTTGAGTATATCCCACCTGAATTTAGAGACCATCTCAAGAATAGATTTGACACACTGAACACTAATGACCGAAGACCAGATGAGTTATGGAATGACATCAAAGACATCATACATGAAGAAAGCAAGAGGTCATTAAAAAGACAAGATTGTCCTAGCTATTGTTTTTACATCTCAGGGCCCAGTTGATGTGTCCTTGTGAGTCTTTGTGAGTTCTTGTGAGTCCAACTCCAGTTGGGTCACATCCTTTATACTCAAGTGCAGGGAATAATGTCTCCAATTTTAACTCCTCAGTCACTCCCTCCTTTTGATCAGAGATTGGAGATAACACATTGATGATCAAAAACCTGCACTTAGTTGGACTCCTAGATGGCAGCAGGCTCTTTAAACTCACAGTGCTGCCAGATATCATCTGGTTCTTCACCAGGATCTGATGTAAGAGTGACGATCTCATTAACTGCATTGCAGAAATGAGCAGAGTCAATCTACATCAACATTTTAGTCCAAGTCTTTCTTTTGCCTTTTAAGTGTGTACTAAATGCTTTTTTAAATATGTGAATGATATCTTAGCTGGATATAATATTTTTGAGTTACACTTCCTTTCCTTCAGAATATCAACAGTTATTGCT